AGACAGTAACATTCAATTTTCTTTTCCCTCTATCACTAAATTCTTACCTTTTCTTACAATTTTTTCCACTTATCTTTTCCAAAGTCCTTGCCAGTTAGCTGTCCCTTCACCCCTTAATGAGTCAATTACCTTAATCTTTTTATTCCAATTTCTTTATTTGAAGCAATCTCTTCTTTGGCCTACATTAATTCCCTTATATTTTTTAAGATTTCTCACATTTTTTATAATATTATTTCAGTCTCCAAGCTTGGCAACAAAACCAAAGTTCTCCAGATACAATGAAATGTGTCTGGAATAGTAATATTTAATACTATCATTTATTACCATTTAATAGTAATATTTAGTAATTTTATTCTCTTTATTCACTTCAAATCTTCCAATTAATGTGTTACTTTCTTCTTTGGCAAAGAGCAATCAAGCTTCCTTCTCTGCTCTCTTGTACTTTTTCTTATTTTATATTGTGCTTTTCTAAGTCCTTTAGTTCCCCTCCTCTTTTTTGTTTTCTTATAGTGATTTATTTCATTACATTTGCCTTCCCTGATTCCTTTTTTTGATCTTTCTTTTATTTCTTTAGTCTGAGCTATTTGCACAAAAAATATTCTGTTTCTGATGAATTTTCCTCAGAAGAACCCTTAAATCTCTCTCTCTCTTTTTTGAATATCCATCTTTTTCATTGATTAGGTTTAGATTTTCAGGATATATTTCCTTGGCTTGCTTCTTGAGCTCTTTTGCTCTTTGGAAGACATTATTACATTCCCTCCAGTGGTTTCTGATGGGCACAGAATAGTATTGTGGAATTCAAATTTCCTTTCCTTTCTATTTGAATGTATTTCTTCTTTTTGTCTGCAGAATTTATGATTTGTCACTATAGCTACTAAATTTGATGGCTATGTGTCTCAGATTTTGCAATATATTTTTAATATAGGCAATCTATGATTTTTATTGGTGTTTTCTCCCAGAAATTCTGAACTTTTTTTTCTAGATGTCTCAAATATCTTAGTGAAATAATAAGCTTTAGTTGATTAATACTTCACCAAAACTTTTGGATCACCTATATTACATTTTGCATTACGCTGTATAGGTTTTTCATGTTCTTCTAGAAGACCTTTAATTTTTAAGTTATCTCTACATAGCTTGTGTTTGAGATCACTAAATATTGCTTGGATAGAATTCATGTTGTCTTTTAACTTTATTGCTTTTAGCTTCTCTTCCTCTTGATTGCCCCAACAGTTGTAACTGTTGTGTCTTTGGTGAGATTTGACATAGTGAATTCCAGTTTTTCTTCTTTGCCAATTATTTCAACTCTATGGTCCATTAGTTCTACTTTCTGATATCACATTTCTCTACTGAACCTTTTGCTATGGATCCATAATCTCTAAGGAACACACGTAATTCTCCAATTATTCAGGTGGAGATTGATCTTTTCTGATGGTTTATCTACTTGAATCCAAGGTTTTTTAAATGTTTTTTTTCTCCTAAGATCTTTTGTAATTTCAGTATTTTTGCCTTATATCCTCTATCACTCCCTTTCTGAATCCTTCCATTTTCATGTTAGAGCATTCAAATGATTGACCTCAAAGCTATCTCAGTCATCTCCGATGGAAGAGAAATAATTTCTCACTTGTCTCAGTCCCTGCACAAAGCTATTTCTTTGTATTAGGACCTCTATTTATTCTTACTTGTTGATCAAACCGTGTTTATTTTTGTATAAAGACTTACTATGGCTTTTATTTCTTGTTCATTTCAAGAAGTTTATCTCTTAGAGAATTGTGGGAGACAGAAGTGACATCAGCTGGATGCTAGCACAATTCCCTTCATACATAGTGCAGCCTCCCACGCATCCTGGCACTCTTCACTGAATTCCTTTTATTCTTTACTATGCCAGCTACATTTCACTGTGTGCACTGCTATTCCAGCTAGAGCAAAATTTGCTATTTCCCATATATATATATGTGTGTGTGTATCTATAAATATATATTTATAAGTATATACATCTATATACATATACACATATACATCTATCACATATATACACATACACATGTGTATACATATATAGACATATGCACACACAAAGACACACACACACACACATCCCCACCTCATCCACCTTGAATTGGAGATTTGAATTTTGCTGTTTGTTGTTGTCTCAGACTAATGGATAAAGGGCAGATGTGTGTGTATGTGTGTGTGTGTGTGTGTGTGTGTGTGCATAGAGGGGTTAGCTATTACAGACTGCAGAAACAGAAAGGGAATTACTGAATGAATTCCAGATCATTAGCCAGTGTTACTTTTGCATTACCTGAAAATTTGATGATCATTCAATATATGTCATTATCTAAAATGTGAATAGAAAACAATGTTTAAGAGATAAGCACTGATGCCTGGGTACTCCAATGGAGAATTGCTACATTGACATGGAACTATTTATGGTTGCTCTTTGAATCCAGTCATCTTACTAATTATACAACTGTCTAACTGTGTTATTGTGTAGTCCTTTTCTCTCCATCTTCTACTCAAGAATGCTATGCTCCAAGACATATCATACTTCACTAAAACCTAAGTAAACCATGTCTTCATCATTCACTTCATCTAGAAGTTTAGGAATCCTGTGCTGAAAGGAAATAAGGTTAGTTGACATGACATAATCTTCATAGTGTCATGCTAGTCTTTATTCATCATATTTATTTGTAGATGTTAACCCATTATCACTTGACTTTTCTTTTTCTAGAATTTCCTGAAGAATTCAAGTGAATCTCACTAGCATGTATGTGGAAGACTTTTTATTCCTATTTATCAAAATTAGAGTAGCATTTTCTCTTCCTCAACTTAGTGTCCTTTTCCCATGTTCTTTTTTTTCAAATGTCAATCACAGTAAATCAGACATCACATCACTCACTTCAGACAGATTCTTCCATTCCTATGAATACAATTGTTTTTGTTCAAGTCATATGAATTTGCTAATATTAATTATGTTCCCTTTTACTATGTGTTATTTCTTATATTGTGTATCAATTCCCTATGGGTAATTTTTTCCCTGTGATTTCTAATGCAAAATTCATTCCATTTGGCAGAGAAAAATAAGGAAAATAAAACTAGAGTAGCTAGGTATTCTCATGATATCAGTAATCACTGTTTCACCCAACCCAAGCATTGTTCTTTTTATTTCTTTAATACTCTATTTTCTCAAAACAGCTCTCTTATTTCAGCCTAAGATCACATTAGTTTCTGGGATAGCCCTAATGATCCAAGTTTGATTTGTAATATAAAAAAAAAATCCCTATGTCTAGGGATTTGTTTTTCAAATTGCTGAAGCCTTCTGCTAAAAGAATTGCTTAGGACTTTTAAGAGGACATTTGTAAGGCTAGAAAGGAATTGTGCCATGAGGTTTTCATTGTTACTTTTTGGTACAAGTATATAAAAGTGTATATGCATGGGCAATGCCTAATTTTCCCCCGGATCTCAGAGACCATTCCAGAATTGGAGATATGGATAGCTGTACCAAATGAGGTCAAAATAATTTTCTTCAGTGTATTTGAATAGCTTCAATTATTCAAAAGGTTTAAAAGGAGTGATAGCTTGACTCGCACTTAGCAACCATGAAATATAACACTTTTTTGCAACTTCCAGTAAGAGGTTCTTGAAAAATTGGCTCTAGTAGTGAACCAGATGTCTTTCCTCCCCTCAGTAGAAATATTGATTACTTCAAAATGACATTTAAAGCAACATGTGTTGTCAAAAGAAGGCTCTGCCAAACTATTTTGCCTTGTTCCTATCTCTGTAAACACAGGAGAGCAACCCTGAGCTTAATACTCCAAGCATTACCAGCAGCATTGATCATCTTGAGATGTCAAGAGCCCATGGAGTTTTCAGCCAGCACTGAATGCTCATCTTCATCTCCTCATATGTGGAAATATAGTCTAGCCTTCAAAGACACAGCATCACCTAACACAGGGACCAGATCACTTAGATCCAGGATACTTCACTTGCAAAGGGGAGAGACAAAGTCTGTAATTTCTGGTCTTCTCTGCATTATACACTTATTCTCTCTTGAGAATTGTTAATTTTTCTTCAATCTCCACTCCTTCCTTCCTTCCTTCTTTCCTTTCTTCCTTCCTTTCTTCCTTCCTTCTTCCTTTATGTTCTGCTTTATTTTTTTTCCTGGCCAGTGACACATATGTCAGGCTTCTTCTGTGACCAAGATTAGGAAGTGGGAGAAGTCCTTCTAGGAGAGTTTTGTATACTTGACACCAAGGGGTGTATTGGGCTAAGACCAATATACTAATTTCCCATTCAACCTTTAATTTTGCCTTCAAAGATAATGGACCTTTAATTCATATGTAATTGAGTCAGCTGATGAAGACTGCAATGGAAAAACTGCTGACATAAACTATTCATTATCTAGGAGGAAAAAGCAAGAGCTAGGTGATGATAGTTACCATCACCTCTTTCATGTTTCAGATTTATGGAACATTAGGATCAAGGAAGCAATGTTGCATCCTCACTATTGTTTTCAAATTACATTTAAGTAAACTTTCTTCTGTTAACTTTTAAATTGTTTGGGAATTTATTGGTGCATTCCAATATTGAATGTGATTTGTGGAATAGCCTTGGTCCAGTGCTGAGCTACAATCCTTTAGGGATGAATTCTGTATTCCTAACTTGTCTGGACCAAGTTGCCTCTATATTTACATTTGAATCTATAGATGTTTTCTTCTGCTGATTGCTCAGCTACATGCAATATAGCAGTGAATCTCTACATTAGATCTTCTAAGACTCCAAAAAGGTGGTGAATATATTCCCCAAATATACAGTAGAAATTTGAGTGTTTCTATTTGGGCAAATCAAGTTCCATGACTTCTTATTATCTGAGAAGGTTTTTTGTTTGTTTGTTTTTTTTTTTTTTGCTTTTTGTCTAGGAGGAGGTGGTAGTGCAAACAGCATTTGGTATAATTTACAGAATAGGGATTTAAAGTATTTGTGAGAAAGTAAGTGCTCACCTTGAGAGTCCATGGCCTAGGTAGTTATGAGTGTATAACATTCCATTTGTCCTTATGGCAAGAAGAAAGGAAAGGACAGCTTCCATTTAGAGCATTTACAGAATACATAAAACACTTAGGATTCAGCTTCTTCAAGCATGCACAGAAACTGTATGGATACAACTACAGTATTAAAAATAAACTTAAATGATTGAAGGTTTATTATTTATGATTGACCAATACAAATATAATTGCCAAAATTACCATATTTAATAAATGTATTTATTTAGTGCTGTATGAATCAGACTAAAAAGGAATTATTTTATAGAGCTACAAAAATAATATATTTATCTGGAGGAAGAAAATTTGGTCAGAGATCAAGGGAAATAATCCAAAAAAGAAATTAAGGGGAGGAAGCCTAGCAGTATATTTCAAATAGTACTGCAAAGTAGTAATCATCTAAAGAACTTGGCACTGGTACAGAAATACAATAGGTGATCAGAAGAACATGTTAGATGCATGACATCCAAGAGAAATTGAACACAACGTATCATTAATTTATTATTATGGTTGTTGTATGCTGTGGTTGCTGTCATTATCTGTTGTTACTCTCATTGCTAAATGACAGAGTATGCAAAGAAATTTTAAAATATTATCTTATTTTATGATCATGGCAACCCTGGTGGGTAGGTGATATTATTATTCCTATTTTACGCATGAGGAAAGAGAGAAACAAGTTAGGAGATTTATCCAGGGATACACAGCTAGTAAATGTCCATGTCTGGATTTGAACCCAAACTTTCCTGACTCTAGGTTCAAAAATTAATAGGTAGGGACATATTATTTGATAGCTTCTGGGAAAACTGGAAAGCAATCTGGAAGAAATTAGGTTCTGGCCAATATTTTAAACCATAACCAATAATAATCTCTAAATGAAAGTTGACCCTAGCTATAAAATATACAATTTTAAATGAATAAGAGGTACTAGAAATGAGATGCCTCTCACACATGGATAGGAGCAGACTTCAGAACCAAAAAAGATGAGGAGGATTGCTGAAGATAAAATTTATAACATAATTTTTTAAAAAAAGTTTTTAACAAATAATATCAAAAACATTCAAATTAGAAGTGAAATTGTCAACTCAGAGACAATTTTTGCAACCAAGTTATCTGACTAAAGCCTGTAATCTAAGATATATGCGTGACTGATTCAAATACTTAGGAACAAGATCAGTTGTCTGGGACTGGAATGGTTACAGTATAGTAAATGTTAATTCTCTAAAGAAATACTACAAATTATTAAGAACCACATGAAAATGATCTAAATACCTAACTTAAAATGTCCATTAAAACAACTCTGATGTTCCACCTAACACCTATCAAGTGGACAAAACAATAGCAAGGGAAAAGGAAAAAAAAGTGGGAAGATGTGGGAGTCCAAATTTACTAAGGCTGGATAATGTTCCTGGAACTCACAACTATGGAAAGGAGGTTAGAGTGGAGAAAGCAAATGTCTCTTCATGATTTATTGATCCTGGAGCTCAGTTTCAGAAATCTGTTGAATGACTGGCTTAGTTGTTCTTCAATGTCTCTTCCAACTGCAATACGGTAAGTCTCTATGCCTCTCTAGATCTTCTGTGTTGATCTGCATTATGGGGTGGTGGAAACCCTGTAGTTTATTTTGGGTGGATGTACAGTAGTTAAGGAAGACAAATACCTCTGGTGTGAGGCTTTCCACTTTTAGCGTCCACCTACCTTCCTGCTCTAACCTGTGGCTCCAAGAAGCTATAGCATACACGGCATTCACACCATGGAAAACAATTTTGGCAGACAGACTACACCATATTGAGGGTCATTGGTGGCGCTCAAATATGTTAATGTTTTAGGTGGGTAACTACCCTGAGCATGTGAAGACTTCCCAGGGTATAATGGGTTGAGATGAACATTTTTTTTTTCCAAAGGGCCACAAAGGCTGTGGAAGCATAGTCTATGGAGTGCTTAAAGCTTGGTTGGGCATCAATGATGCAAATGTCATCAACTGCACCCCAAGCCATCTCCAATCTCCTTGAATTTGTTCTTCCATGGGATTCTGATGACATTGGCAGAAGAGTGAGGCTGATGACTGTACACAACTCCGTGTCATGTAAATCCAATCCATCCATGAGTAAAACAAACAAACAAACAAAAAATGGAAACAAAAAACAAAACAAACAAACAAAAAAAACCCCCAAAACAAAAAAACAAGCATTTCAACCTATCAATGACCACAGGTCCTGAAGATCTGATTATCAATGCTGATCAAAATAAAAGGGCTGACTGTTGGATACCATAGAGAAAGAAAGGTTAAGGTATGCATCATCCAAGTTTTTGTGTGTTTAAAATAGAACATATGCAAAATAAAAATAGGGCTGAGTAAATTAAACAAAACAATGGCGGCCACTAAAAGCAGGATAGTTTGAGTGGCTCAGGTTTCAGGTGATATTTTTATAGAGGGGCTATTCCTATGAATATGACTGACATTCATCTTGTGTCTGTAAAGTGTTAAAACCATATAGGAATTAGAACATGTCATGAGACACATAAACAAAGCTTCATGGACACATGCAATGATTGCAAGTATCATATGTTTCCTATTATACACATCTAAAGTCCTATCCTTGAGAGTGTTGCATCCATATTTACTGCCTGTGCTGTTCTTTGGATCAGTTTGGTAAAGAATTACTAAAACCTCTAATGGCAGATTGAAGATCCAGCAAAGAACAATGCTTGGGATGATGTACTTTGGTGTTCTCATTTTGAGCTGTGCTCCTATGGAATTGATGGGACTAATAGTGATAGCCTGGAAGATACTCAAGAGGCAGGTAGAACACAAAGAGAGTCCCCAGCTTAATGTCTGCATGTATGATATGATTTTAATCCCTGTCTCATCCAGGAGACATTTAATCCTCCAAAGCCTTGTTCCAGTAGGTATTCCTCTAAAGAGAAGCATCATGGCATTGGAAAAGTTCGAATGGATGACAATTAGGTGTTTAGGTATTGTTGTATAAGTAGTGAGTATATAAAAGCTGTTTAAGAATAGGACAGAGTTGCCTAGGAATCCAATTCCAGTTATTTGCAGGTATACTATCCCCAGAATTTAATCAAAAGTCAGCATTCCTTAGCTGTCTTGTGAAGATGATTTGCTGTCAAATTCAAATGGGACCTATGGAGAAACACATGGCATTGTATATATTCTATATGAAGATTTTATCATTGAAATCCCATGACTTTCTGACTGATATACCTCCCCACTTCACTCTATCCTTGACTCATCTGTCAAACTGATCTTCCCAAAGTGCTGATATAATCTTGTCAACACCTCTTTTTTCAGTAAACTATAGGTGCTCCCTGTTATGTTAAGACACAAATATAAAATGCACTGTTTAGATTCAAAGCTCTTCATAACCTGGCCAATTCCTACATTTCCAGTTTTCTTAAACCTTATTCCCCACTATTTATTCTGTTATCCAGGGAACCTGGCCTTCTTGCTGTTCCTTGAATAAGATAACAAATCTCTGGAATATTTAGATTTTTGCTCCCTGTCCTCAATTTCTGGCATGCTTTCAATCTCCATCTCTGTTTCCTGATTTCCCTGGCTTCCTGCAAGCCTCAGCTAAAATCCTATCTTTTACAAGAAGGATTTTGCTATACTCTCTAATGGTAATATCTTCCCTCTGTTGATATTACCAACTGATCCTGGAAATATCTCATTTGTCCGTGGTTGTTTCCATGTAGACTCCCCCATTATACTGTGAGCTTCAGAGGGAGCAGATAGTGTCTCTTGTCTTTCTTTTGATCCCTGGTTCTTGGCACAGACCCTGACACGTAGGGGATGTTTAAGAAATGTTTTTTGAATGGTAATTTCAACTTAGATTGGGGGCCTTCCCCTGGACTATTTACCCCCCAGGAATGTCTAATTATTGTTCCCATTCTTCCCTCCTGTTTTGCAAGCACTGAGCTTTTTGTGAATACAAATTATACAACTTGATCTTCTAAGAGCAGATACTAGTATACAATTAAAAGTCTCTATTTCCCACTTGAGGGATTAAGAGTTATAAAAATCTAAGAACATGTTAGAAATTAATTTGAAAACCCATTTAATCACAATGTTACAGTGTTTTAAAAATATATATGCAGTAATTTTCTACCCGGGCCTCTCAGCTATCACCTCAGCTAGCCAACCTCTTCTATCTGGCCAGCTCTTCTGCTTCGTCCTTAGGAAAAATGAAGCAGAAACTAAAGAAAACTTCTTTGAACCCTGAAAGGAGTAGGTGGGATATATGGATTACTGAGCACACTTCTATATGTTAACCAGGAACAGAACCCCAGAATCTTTCCCAACTCAGTGGGGAGACCAATGCATTGCATCTAGAGTGGGAATGAACCTCTGAACTTAACTAGTGGAAGTCATTACTATTTTTTTAAATTTTACAAAATGATGAAACTGAGGCCTAAAGAAGGAATGGGATTTGCCCAGAGTAACATGGGCAGAAAGTAGGAGACCCAGCATCTGAACCTTGTTCTTCTAACTTCAAAGTAAGAATTCTTTCTTTTGTGTGTGCATGATGGCATCATTTAAAGAAATTACTTATTTTATTCTGAACTTACAAAATAAAACAAGAGTTTCCATAGCATCATAGAATAGGAAAATAAATGATTGTATGTGAAACTGCAAATCTATTATGTACAATTTGCTATTCCTTTTAAATCTATATTAAAGTTCTGTAACTTTCTTTTTTTTTCTTCCCTCCCCACCCCTGCCCTAGAGATGGCTACCATTAGACACATGTATGTATATGTATATATATATATATATATATATATATATATATATATATATA